AACAAATTATGGCTCACATTGAGAAGAATGGAAATCTCAGAACACATATTTGTGCTTATCAAAATATATACGTAAATAGGATTCTATTTTCCAAATCAAGCAAGGATTTCTTAATTAAAATTAAGAAAGATGTGAATTAAGGCCATATCCTTTCTCCATACCAAGTCAAACTGCCTACTAAACTAATCACTGAGAAGTTGGGCTTATGTAGAAAAATAGGAAATCAAAATTGAAGGAACACTCATCTACAACCTGTGTTATGCAGACAACACAACCTTTCTTGCTCAAACCAACAAAGACTTAAGGAGCTTGCTAACAAAGATAAAATAATATAACCTTCAATGTTAATTGCATCTCAACATCAAGAAAGCAAAACTCTTTGCCATCGGACCAACAGGCAGCATATGATATATGGAGAAAAGATTGAAATTGCCGACAATGTTATAATCTTACTTGGATCCACAGTTAACACTATCGACACCAGAAACCAGGAGATTAGGAAAAACAGGCTCGGAAAAGTCTACTGTAAGGAACCTCTCCAAACTCCTAAAGAGCAATGATGTCAATCTAAAGATTAAGGTCCACCTGATGATTCAAGCCATGATCTTTCCAATCACCTGCTATATATCTGAGAGCTGGACAATGAATAAAGATGACAGAAGAATTGATGCCTTTGAGTTGTGATGTTTGAGAAGAGTATTGAATATCCCATAGACTGCTCCCAAAAAACAGGTATGTCTTAGACAAAGTGTAGCCAGAGTGCTCCTTAGAGGAAAGGATGATGAAACTTGGTCTCACGTTGTTTGGGCATGTTATTAGAAGAGGCTATTCCTTGGAAAGAGACATTACAGTTGGAAAGGTAGAAGGTCAAAGAGAGAAAGACCCTCAATGATATGGATTGTTATAATTACTGTGGCAAGGAGTTCAAGTATGTTGGGGATTATTACAGGATAGGGCAGGGTTCAGATCTGTTGTTCATAGACTTACTATGAGTCATACTCAACTTGACAACTTAACAACAACTGCATGGAACTTTAACTTTTATATCCACAAAGACTCAGATGTCCCCTTTTGCCTTAATCTCTCTAAGATATTTTTCATAGATATGTAGTCTATTTGCAATAGCACTTTTAACAAAGAATGGTTTTTAAAAGCCAAGCAGACTGTTCCCTCTAGTTATGATCAGAGAGTACCAGGAGAAATTTGTTCTCCTTACTTAATGGCAATGTTATTGTCGTTGTTGTGTGCCCCCAAGTTGAAACTTATCCATAGCTGACCCTCCAGCAGCTTTTCAGAGGCAGTAAACGTCACAAGAGGAGATTACCCATCCTTCTCCCATAGAGCAGCTGGTGGGGCATCTGGTGGATTAGAACAGCATGCCTTCGGGCTCTTGAAGCATTAAGTATCCTCCCAATCCCTTTCACAGATTTATAATAGTGTGGTGAAGAAAGGAAGCCAGGTTGCCTAATTGCCTAAAACTCCCAGCTGAAGAGAAGTTACTCACAACATTGTGGGTGGTTCAACACCAGCTCTCCCTGGGTAAAGAACAACTCTATGGCAGGTAAAGGTTAAATGTTTGCTAATTTAAGTGCATCAATCAGTAGTGATCAAACTGAATCCATGTAAGCGGCTAATTTCTTAAACTGATCATGCTCTTGTTGGTAGGTGGTGTTAAGTAGACTGTGACTATGGAGACTTAATGAACACTGATAGGAGCACTGTCCTATCCTGTGCCATCCTCACAATTTCTGACACACTCAAGCTCAAGGCCACAGTCACCGTGTCAATCAGTCTGTTTAAGGCTCTTGCTCTCCTTCACTGACCCTCCACCTTCTCAATCATGATGTTCTTCCCCAAGGAATAGCCTCTCCTAGTAACATCCCTAAAGTGTGTGAGATGAAGCTGCATCATTCTTGCCTCCAGGGAGTAATCTGCATACACCTTCTCTAAAACTTAGATATCTGTTTTTTCACAGTCCATGGGATCTTCAGCACTCTTCATCAATAATGCATTTCAAAGACATCAACTCTTCTGTCATCCTTAGTCATTGTCCAGTGCCTGAATCCTGTGTACCTTTGAACTCAAACTGACATCATTACTCCACAATTATTTGGGGAGGTCCCTAACTGCAGACTTGCCCAGGGCAATATGTCTTATGATCTCCTGACTGCTGGTACCAAGGGTTCTGATTGTGGATCCAAGTAAGACGAAGTCACTGACATTCTCAATCCTTTCTACATCCATCATGATGCTTGCCTATTGGTCCAGCGGCAATGATTTTTGTTTTCTTCATGTTGAGATGCAATTTTTATTGAAGGCTGCAGTGTTCAACCTTCTGCTTCCAAGTCTGTCTCACTTTCTGCAAACAAGGTTTTGTCATATGGATAACAAAGGTTATTAATTAATATTCCTTTAATGCTGATGTCACGTTTTTCTTCATAGAGTCAAGCTTCTTGAATAATTTGTTCCACATACAGATTAAACAGGTAGAGAGAAAGGCTACAACCCTGACAAACACTTTTCCAATTTTAAACCATATAGTGTTCCCTTGTTCTGTTCACATGACTGCCTCTTGGTCTCGGTATAGCTTTAGAATAAGCACAGCTAAGTGTTCTGGAATTCTCTTTCTTCTCAATGTTAGCCATAATTTGTTATGAGCCACACAGTCAAATGCCTTTGCATACTCAATAAAACACAAATAGACATTCTTCTGGTATTCTTTGCTTTCAGTCAGGATCCATGACATTCATTAAAATTATCACAGAATTGTCAATTAAATCCCTGATCAAGATGAGGACATTTTAAAGAAAGAATACAGGATTATTTTTTTTTTTACTAAAAGTGAATAACTGAATTCAAGTCTATTCTGCCAGATTCTTTTCCTCTCAATCTGTAAAACCGGAAGTTGCTTGCCCAGTTGCCAAGACCTTTTGCCTTTTACATGCCTGCCCCTCCTCTCTAGATGTGCTAATTACCAAAAGCCATAAGAAGTGTGGAGCAACTCCCTCTCTGATCTATTTCACATCTTAAACCAAGATGCTAAAGATACTGACTCTAAGAAGTGAATCCTGACTTACTTATCTTTTGTGTAAAGTAGTCTAAAAAATCACATCCTTACCTCACACCATATACAAAAGCAAACTCAGGGTGAATCAGGGACTTAGTATTAAAACCATGGACTCTAAACTTCATCAGTTTATATAAACTTTCAACAGTTTATATGAACTTTATGAAGTATTCTTCGTTCACATTTTGTTTCATACAATCATTCTCATGAGACCATTGTTACAAATACAGAAGGGTAAACTATTAAAACATATATAGGAACTCAAGTTGTGGGTGAGGAGGAGTGGAGGAGTGAGGATGTGTAGGGGTGAAACTACAGGGCTATACAGTTTGGTGGGTGAGGGAAGGAGGAAAATAAATGGAAAGGATCGAGACAAAAAGACAGGGTAATTATGGGCAAGGTCCAATGGTGATTAATTTTATAAAACATAATGCACGATGATGATCATGTTTTTTTTATGTGAAGTTTTACCACAAGGTTAAATTTAAAAGTCTTTTTTTTGCTCAGGGTTTTTCTAATTTTTAGAAAAATTTTCATAAATAAAAAAACAAACAACCAACCCCAAACCCACTGGCCCTTGAATCGATTGATAGCTGAAAAATCCGTTGGGTTTCTGATTTTAAGGCAGAAGGGAGAAGAATGCTCATCTTTCTCCCTTGGAGTCACTGGTGGATTTAAATTACCAGAGAGGTGTGATCTCTGGGTTGGCAGCACAATTCTATGAAGATTACATCACTAGAGCTCCCTTTAGAAGGACTAGGAAGAAGATTAGAAATAAAAAATGAGTTTTCTATTTTAAGCCTGCAAGTTCCCAAGTTTCTTTACTTTTTCTATACTCTTTTACTTTCAAACCTACCAGTTGTTTTTGGATATATCTTCTTGTAAACTCATATTCAACTAACTCATGCTATAGATATTCTATTTACCCCTTTTAATCAGCTCTGTATTATAATATGCATCACTACTTCTAAAATCTTCTTTCCAAGTTATAACAGAAAAACCATTGTACCATATACTTTATTGAACAAAACAGAAATTGTTATCCTTCTAACTTGCAAGAAGAGATTCTTTAACACAAACTGCTTACCTCTAAAGACATTTACAGATGCTAAAATTTTGTTAAGTTTTATGATAGCACTACTTGTAAAAATTTCCATCATAGCTGTAATACTTTAAGTTATGCTGTCATGGCAACCAATCCAAAACAAAGACTAATTTTTCTACAGCCAACATATTCATCTTGAATCAGCTGAGGCTATCTTTACCATTGATTATCCACTAAAAGGATCATTGAGAGAAGAGTAAGTTGCAAAATGCTTAGTATAAAGGCTCTGCATGAAGGTGACACCTATCATGCCCACTTGTGTTTAATTTACCAGAAAAGGTTCAAGCCCAAGTTGGAAAATATAAACAAACACACTCTTCCTCCAAAAGGCAGCTACATAATTGAGTACATGGGTAATCCATTTCCGTTTCATACACTGCAGTATATGCCTTCTCTTCAGGGCTCTACAAGATACTCCCACAATCAATAATGTAAGGAGACTAAAATAAAAATGAGAGCATAAAGAATCTAAAGTATTAGAAGTGAGACGAGAATGCAATCAAAGAGAATGTTAACACATTATGAAAAATACAATTAACTTCAAATGAACAATTTGTGTAGAAATTGTCAACTGGGAACCCAATCTGCTATTTAAACTTTCACAGAAAGAACAATAAAATGCTATTTTTTTTAAAAAAATGTAAAAAAGAACCTTTCTGCATTAAGGTCATCATTAACAAAGACCAGTGTCATTACTAATTTGTACATGAAAGTTTCATTTGACTCAGTTGATCTTTTCCACCTATTTTGAATATTTTTAAAAATGCAGATTCTTAATTTAATAATTTCCTTTTAGTAACAAATCTAGGCAGATAAAAAATATAAGAGTCAGGAGAAAATTCTCTTCTTGCATCTGTTCAGAGCATCTTTGATTTCCTTGTTCCTCAGACTGTAGATCAATGGATTTAACATGGGAATCACCACAGTGTACACAACAGAAGCCAACTTGTTCTGGCTACGAGAACCATCCGAGCTGGGGCACAAGTAAACAAAAATTCCAGAACCAAAGAATAGAGTCACTGCTGTCAGGTGAGAAGCACAGGTGTTGAAAGCCTTGGACCTGCCTTCCGCTGACGTGATCTTCAAAATGGCGGCAACAATATGACCATAGGATATCATGATAATCAGGACAGAGATCAATCCGAAGATCACTGTGAGCACAGAGGAAAGAATTCGTAAGAAGAAAGTGTCAGAGCAAGATAGTGTCAGCATCTGAGGCAGGTCACAGAAGAAATGGTTGATGATATTTGGTCCACAGAAATGGAGCTGAAGTAAGCCACACACTTGGATAAGTGAACCAAAGAATCCAGTTATGCCAGATCCTACTACCATCTGCAGACAGACAGCTGGGGACATGACAACTGTGTAAAGCAAAGGACTGCAAACAGCAGCATATCGGTCATAAGCCATGGCCACCAGAAGACAGCACTCTGTCAGACCCAAGCTAGCAGAGAAGAAATACTGCAAGGTGCATTGAAAAAAGGAGATGAACTTCTGTTTCTGGAAGAAGTCTGAGAGCATCATGGGGGATATGGAGGAGACATAGCATATATCTAAGAAGGCGAGTTTATTGAGGAAGAAATACATGGGTGTGTGCAGATGGGAATCGATCTTGATCAGAGCAATAAGACCCAGGTTCCAGGACACTGTCATGAGATACATTGCTAAGAATATTGAAAAGAGCGCTGCTGTGAGCTTTGGAAATTCAGAGAATCCCAAAAGGATGAACATGGTAACTGTACTGTTGTTTCTTTCTTCGATTATTGCCATCCTGAAATTCACAGGAATGTAAGGAAAGATATTTCTTGTTCGGTTTTCTCAAGATATTGAAATTAAATGGAAGACATTACCCTGTGACTCAATTCTCCAGCTGAAAAGGAAAAAAAAATTAGATTTCTTAATTTAAAAAAAATTTTATTTCTTAGATTCAGTTTTACATCATTTCTTTCTATTAACACTGGCATGTTGGAGCGCATTGTTGAAGATATTCTATAAATCCCTATCACTGAGGGTTTATCTCATTTTCCCTGATTCTTTACTAAATATAACGTACTTTTCTAGCAATTTTGTCTTTATAAGAAGGTTCAAGTATAATCTTGTTTCTTAAGAACATTTGGCCTGTATTACTTCTAAGCCTGATTTGCTTGTTTTCTGGAAGTCCTTAGTATTTTCACTACTCCTTTTAAACACTACCTTTTAAATGTATCTATTTGTCTTGCTGGTCTAGTGGCAAGAAGCTGCACTGCAATCCCAAAGGCACATGGTTCAAAGCCACCAGCTGCTCCTTTGGGAGTATAAGCATTCTCCTCCAGAGCCATTAACTGCCTCTAAAAACCTACTGGGGGCTTGGCTGTAGGTCGGTTCTATACAATAATTGCTTCTGGCATGCATATGTTGTTGTTATATACCTTAGAGTCAGAACCAACCCACAGCTGACCCTCCAGCAGGTTTCAGAAGCAATAGATTGCTCAAGAAAGGAGCGTCCATCTTCCTCCTTTAAAACAAAGAGCTGGTGGATTTAAACTGCCTGCCTTCAGGTTGGCAGTACAAATCCTTACACGAGGCCAGCAGAGCTCAATGAAATGACTGAGAAGGCATCCCTTAATCATCAAAACGACACCTTGATCCTTCTCAAATGTCAAAAAGTCTTTGCATCAGATTTTTAAATATTAACAATATATTTAAGATCATATTAAATAAAAGTAACATATTTAGAAACACCTGTCCATTCCACTAATGATGAATGAATTAGAGAAGGATCAAAATGAAACCTATGCAGGGAGTCTAAAGTGAATGCATTTCTAAAAAGCTAAACATTGTGCTGAGATAGCACATGGAACTAGTTTCCTAGATTAAAATAAAGTGCTGGATAAAAGATTTCAGAAATAGTCTCAAGTGCATCAATTTACAGGCTAGAAGAAAAAAAAAATACCAAAGCAAACAGACACTAAGTAGGAATAGCATCTTTGAGGAGGCAGAACAGTGAATCTAGCAAAGTCAACCTATGCTGAGTTGTTTTGATTTTCTTTCCTTTCAGCTTCACAGAATTCAGGGATACAGAACAAAGGACCAATGAAAGTGGCAAACCTCACAGGAGACCTTGGTACCAAACCAGGTGTCTCAGAGATCCAAAGGATTATACCATTAGCATCAAGATAAAGGTAAGATAATCATCATTGCAAAGATCTACAAGCAAAATTTTCTGCCTAAAAAATTCTGACTCTGAGTGGAGAAGAGGAAGCTCACTCCCCAGAGAATTTGGGACTCATTTTATATTCACACTGCCTGAAAGAATGAAAAATGGGGATTAAGTTTAAAGAGATCCTGGATTAACTGAAGTCAGGGCTTCTCAAGGTCATCCATTTGGAACAGGATAAATGTTCTAAATCGGTTAGAAAGTAAAGGCTTTGTGGCACATTGTAAATCAATTCACAGTTTTGTGCAGGAAAGTATTATTTTGAAATGTATGAGAGTTGTGCTTATTGCTACAGATGATTTGGGCTGTGTAAAAAAACTGCTCAACTTGTTAAAAATAAAAGCTGTAAATAAGGAGCATTTGGAGCTTAATAAACACTTGTCTAAATACTTCATTTTGGAAGCAGGAGCGGCATCCACTGCCTAAACAACTTGCCTACAGAAACTCTATGAACTTTGATAAATGTTGATAGTTGTAGAAGGGCATTAGGCCTTTTGTTCATAGGGTCGCTATGAGTCATTCTCAACTCAAAGACAATCAACAAATACTTCATTACATAAAAAAGAATTATTATTAACAATTTTAAAATTGCCATAAAAAACAGTAAATAAACATCACATATACAAATACTGTATGAACCTTGTGATATAAACTCACATTTATAAAGATATGAAATTATATACACTAAAATATTTAGTGGTGATCAATTTATGATATGAGCATAACGCTATATGCTATTTTGCTTATTATTATGTTCTAATTTTCTATAAAGTGCATGTACTAATACTGATTATATAAAAATGAAAAGCTGTAAAATTACAAGGATATGACTTAAAACAAATGTTGCTGTTGTTATGTACCCTGGAGTTGGAAGTGACTCAGAGCTGACCCTCCAGTGGGTTTTCCTAACCACATAGCTTTGGGATGGAAGCACAACTCCTTATCACTGAGCCACCAGAGCTCCCTGCTATAACAACTGGGAGAGGAAAAGACATTCTTTTAAATGTTTATACTAGAGAAGTGAAATTACTGCCAGAGTTCACCTTTCAACTAAATAATAGATTTTTATAACACAAACAGTATCACCTTGAGATACTTTGCTCTTCAAAAAAAAATTATCTGAGAACAAATAAAGTTAATCTTCATAAAATTATGGGAAAATATAGAAGCTAGATTGAGATGAAACAGAATGGAATAATGAGGACATTGGTACAATGTAGGAAATATGAAAAAATCATTAGAATGTTTTTTCAGTTGCCACTGAGTCGAGTACAACTCATAGTGCCCTTATGAACAACAGATCTGAACCCTGTCCTATCCTATGCCTTTCTCACAATCTCTGATATACTCAATTCCATTGCTCCAGTCACTGTGTCAATCTACCTGGCTGAGGGTCTTTCTCAGTTTCAGTGACCCTCCACCTTTCCAAGTATGATGTCCCTCTGTAAGAAATGGCCTCTCCTAGCAAAATGACCAAAGCGTGTGACATGAAGCTTTATCATCTTTGTCTCCAAAGATAACTCCAGCTGCACCTTCTTCAAGACATATCTGCTTGTTCTTTTGGCAGTTCATGGAATAGTTAATACGCCTTTCCAACACCAGAGCTCAAAAGCATCCATTCTTCTTCTGTTTATTCTTATTCATTGTCATCCTTATTCATTCAGCTCGCAGATGAATAACAAGTGATTGGAAAGACCGTGGTCTGAACTAGGTACATCATAGTCCTCAAAATGACATCATTACTCCTCAATAATTTGGAGAAGTCCTTGACTGCACACTTGGGAATTATGTCTCATGGTCTCCTGACTGCTGGAATCAAGGGTGTTAACTCTGGATTCAAGGAAGATGAAGTGTTGACAGATTCAATCTTTTCTCCATCTATCATGAAGTTGCTCATCAGTCTAGCGGTAAGAATTTTTGTTTTCTTGACTTTGAGATGTAATCTATATTGAAGGCTATATTCTTTGATCTTTTGCAGCATGTTCTTAAGGTCCTCCTCACTTTCAGCAAGCAAGGTTGTGCTATCTGTATAAAGTAGGTTATCAACTAGTCTTCCTTCAATTCTGATGACACATTTTTCTTCAGAGTCCAGCCTCTTGAATAATAATTTGTGTAGCATACAGATTAAATAGGTATGAAGAAAGGCTACAATCCTGACGCAAAACTTCTGTCATTTTAAACTACATAGTGTTCCCATGCTTTTTTCACACAACAGCCTCTCGATATTGGTATAAGTTTCATAGGTTTCACATGAGCACAATTAAGTGAAATCTTTAGAATAAGCATCTTAAAAACCAAACCTATTTTCATGAAACAAATTCTGACTCATAATGACCCAGTAAGTCAGAAAAGAACAACCCATAAGGTTTCCAAGGCTAATATCATTATAGAAGCAATCTGTCATATCTTTCTGTCATGGAGCAGCTGACAAATTTGAAACATCAACCTTTTAGTTAGCAACCAACTGATTAACCACCTCACAATCAGAACTCCTGAACAATATCTCTTTTTGTTGTTAGGTGGCAACAAGTCAACTATGACATATAATGACCCTATGAACAACAGTGCAGAAGCCTGTGCTATCCTGTGTCATCTTAACATTTCCTGACATATTAGAGCCTTTTGTGGCAGTCACCATGACAATCTACCTGATTAAGAGTCTTCCTCTTGCTTCACCTGACATGCTCTGGGCATGTTGCAAGGAGGGGCCAATCCTTGGAGGACATCATGCTTAGAAGGGTGGAGGGATAGCGCAAGAGAGGAAGACCATTGATTAGATGGATTGACTCAGTGCCTGGGGTAACGAGAGTAGGTATGTCAGAGACAATAAGGTTGGCACAGGATAGAACAGGTTACAGGTCTATATATAGTGACAGTTTTACCGCTTCCTTTTGAATTTGGGTGCCTCTTTTTTTCCTTGTCCTGTAGTATTGGCCTAGAAAGTACTTCCAATACATTTTTAAATGGGAGTGGTGAAAATGGGCATCCTTCTCTGAACCCTGTTTGCAAAAGGAATACATTTAGTCATTCTCCTTTGACAGTGATGTTGGCTCTTGGTTTTGAATATGTATTTTTCACTATGTTGAGAGAATCCCTTCTATTATGTTGTTTAATTTCTTGACTACTATTACAATATTTGCTAATTTTGGATCTCAATAAAATGAACTTTTGACCACTTTAAAAAAAAAAAAAAGGTCTTCCTCTCCTTCACTGACCTTCCATTCTTCCAAGTGTTATGCCCCTTTCCAAGGAAGAGTGTTCATAGGATTTTCAAAGGTCTGTTATTCAAGAAGTGGATAACTACTCCTGATTCCCAGTCTGTCTTAATCTGGGAGCTCTACTAAAACCTGTCAACTATGGATAGACATTATGGTATTTGACAAACCAATGGCATAGATTTTAGTATCACAGCAACCCACAAATTATCTCAGTACAGCAAACTGACAGGCAAATGCTATACCACTTAAAACAATGTTCTCCCCAAATAAAACAAACTGTCAATTATGTTTGTGACTGTAATAGCAAATTCATCTTCACACTAGGCACGTGGGCCTGTGGTCCTCGGGCCCAACCA